GATTCAGGTGGCCGCTTGCTCGTTTGCCAGCCTTATGTTATATAAAAAAATACTACGTATGTAATTTCCATTCGGCCTCCTCTTACCTCCTACCTACGACGAGAGAGGTATCATTTGAATTTTATTAGCGCCGAGTAGTGCGCAAACACGGGCGAATCCAGCTTTGGCGCCAGGGGGGTTATGTAGTCATGGTCAAGTCAAGAGCTTGGCAAAATATGTAAATATATTTTGTCAAACTCTTGACCGACCAGCTCAGGGGGGGGTTATGGCCCCCATGACCTCCCCCCTAAATCCACCGGTGTGCGCAAAGTTGGTTTTTATGAGTTTTATTTGTGTGTAACGTATAAACTCAAAAACTACAAAACCAATCACTAAAATTCTTACACTTTTAAAATGTTATATTATCTCTTAGTAACATATGGTGTAAAAAATGTTTCTATCAAAGCCGGAATGTACTTTTGTTGTTATTACAAAACATTTTATAATAATGCGGAATTATGATTACTGATGCAATTGTTATTAAGTTAGCGTTTTACGTTTGTTTTTATACAATTTATAATAAAGCAATAGAACAAAGAGTTATTGATATAAATTGTAGAAACACGTAAGTTGTGGTTGTTGTGGGAAAATGCTATGAGTCGAAAATATTTTTATAAGACTTCTAGAAGTTTTGAAACTAACATTTTTTCGTAAACATTATGTTCATTGAATCGAAGACAATTATTGAAAACGAGCTGTTGCCCGCGACTTCGTACGCGTGGTATTAGAAAACATACAAACTATAAAAATTACAAAAAGCTACGTATCCCTCGGGAACCGGACATTTCTCGGGGATGAAGTTTATCCCATGTGTATTCCTGATTTTGATTTAGATATAAAAATGTGCCAAATTTCAATAAGATATGTTGAACCGTTGCAGAATGATCGAGTAAACATTAAAAAACTAAATTAATGAATCCCACGGGAACCGTAACTATTCCAGGGATAAAAAGTAGCCTATGTGTTCTTTCAGACTATGCTCTAAACCTGTGCCAAATTTCATAGAGATCCGTTCAGCCGTTTAGGCTACAAACGCTAACAAACATCCATCCATCCATCTATCCATCTAAACTTTCGCATATATAATATTAGTAAGATTAGTAAGAAGTAAGATATTAAAAATAAATCTATGTTAGATTTATATGCTACAAAAAACATTTTTAAGCTAACTTATGCATTTAAAAAAATTGACATAGAAACGTGCACACTTGATTTTATAATGGGAGAAATTTCTCATTTCTACCAATATTATTTTAATTTATGGCACGCCCATAGACTTTTCTAACACCAGACGTTTCCAGTTCCCGCACATAATATGTTCCTGGTCTTATAGCCATTAGTACTATCCGGCTAACTGACGGTGTATCACTTTAGTAGCTACTCCTTTTAATGTTTTGTATTCATTGAGTCAATGCGAATTGTCCGAAAAAAGGTCGCCCAGTCGTATACGGATAAATCGTTTTATTGTTATCCTGTTCTGCAACTCTGCTACCTAAGTGGCGGAGTATTTCTCGTTGAAAGTCACCGAGAAGGCCCCTCACTTTATGTTCTTTTTTTTTAAAGCCCTAAGTCTTATGTTTTACTGGTTCAATTTTATTATAACATAAGGTCGCAAACATGTATGTGGTCATCTGAGTTTGTGTGTATCCGTTGCATCGGGCGAGCTGGCCCATTTGTACGAAAATGTTAAAGTGGCCTCTACGACTGTCAAAACGCGACTAAACAGTTGTCTAAATAAAATGTTGTTCTACCAGGTGTGCGAGTTAGTGGGAGGGTATCTGGCAGGCAGTTTATCAGTGATGTCTGACGCGGCGCACATGCTGAGCGACTGCGGGGGCTTCGCCCTAGCACTCTTCGCCTTCAGATGTGCTCGCAGACCTCCGAATGCCACCATGTCGTATGGATATCGACGAGCTGGTGTGTAACAAGATGCTTCTAGAATGTTCGATCAAAATTTTGAAAGCTTATATGGGTATTTCATAGTTTTATTTAGAAACATGATTTCGTGGAAATTGTCATAGAAGTGAAATTTTATATGATAAGCAAATTAATGTAATGTGAGAAAGTTTCTATCGATGTTTTTTAAATGTATATCCCATTAAGAAAGTGATTGCTGCATTAAGAGTTACTTAAAGGTAACCTACAGTCTAAGTTTAAATTTCGCATACAAAATCATAAAGTAGCGCTATTGGCAACTATTAAACATTTACCAGGCAAACAAGGGACAGTAAATCCATCTGTTTGTCACCAGAGGTGTTGGGAGCGATGGCATCGGTGCTTTTGATCTGGGCGTTGACCGGTATCTTCGTATACGTGGCGGCGCTGCGCATACACACGGGAGAGTACAATATAAAGCCGGATATGATGATGATAGTGTCAGGCTGCGGTGTTGCCTTCAATGTGGTGCTGGCTTTAGTGTTGCACGGTTGTGCTTCTGATATCGGTGAGATATACATCGCAGAAGGGCGCATTTTTTAAATATTAGTAGATTTTTGTAAATTTTCCTTTAACCAGTCCAATTAAGCTCTAGGCTTGTGCTAGGATATGGTTCACGGCAGTCGAATGGCGGGATTCGAACCCTCGTCCGCAAGATCGGTAGTCTGTACCCCAAACTATTATGCTATTGGCACTTGATGCGCTTTTGACTAATCTTTCGCACAACTATTGTGCGATTGTCGATTGTTTCGCAATCAAATGTTTAGTTGCACAATAAGAAATAGCACCTTCATATAACTCAGGAATCGAATCAAGACTAAACAGTTTGTGCGGTAGTTTAGGCAAATTGTAGCTTCTAAAATCACGCAAAAACTTATGTCTTTTGAAATCCACATGGTTTTTAGTCTATTGTATGTATGCAAATTGTATTTGGCTTCCGAAATAATCTTAGTTTAAAAAGTTTACTCCATTTCTATAATCACTATTATTTACTGATTTTTTTATACACAAAAATGTATGCATTATATCCCATAAAAGTAAACTTAACTCTTATTGGATACTAATAGCCTTACAAATAAACGCGGTATTAAGTCAAACTTAGGAATACACTAAGTATAAGTTTATTTTTTGTATAAGAACCTATGCATTATTCCTCATAAAAACAATCTTAACTCTTCTTAAATAAGGAATAAGGTTGAATTTCTAGCTCACTACCATTCACACGGTGGCGCTGCGTGCGGACACGCGCACACGCACGAGGAACGGCCACGTATTGGGTTTAAAATGTTCCGTCGCTCCAAACATAATGGACTAGTGAATGGAGACTACAGCCTGAAGGATATGGCCACTGTAGAGGCTGATGTTCATTCACGGACAAAGTAAGTCATTATAAGCTATCTATACAATTATAATAAAGCGTAAACACACACTTCTTTGTTGCCTAAGATGTCAGCAATTACACCATATTATATCATCATTATCCACTTGCCCTTATCCCTTACAGAGGGTCGGCACAGTATGTGCTGCTCTTCCATACATCTCTATCAGCCGTCATATCTGAATCCACTCCTTTCTTAAGCATATCCTCTTTCACACAATCCATCTATACTTTCTTCGGTCTTCCTCTTCCTTTGTAGCCATCCACATTCAATCTTAACCTTTCTGGTTTATGTCTCCATCTCGTTGCATAACATGTCCATACCACACTAACCTTTTGCTTCTCAATTTCTCCACCACTGGCGCTACTTTCAAACTTCCTCTAATGTACACATTCTTAACTTAATCCATTCTTGTCACACCACACATCCATCTTAGGGGATAAATGTTTTAGATAAAAACCCTAATGTGGGCAAGGGACCATAAACTACAAGCTGCCAACATTAAGGAAGCAAGGTTGCCATGGTTTGTCATCATGTCATTTTGACATTTGCAATTGATAATTTCACAAATGTAAACAATAAAATAAAATTTTCATAATGTTATGTGGATGATTGGTTGGTTGGTTGATTGGTGGCTGAAAGATTTCGTATCATTGGTCTTGGTAAAGGAAAAAAATGTATTTTCTTCTAGAAATATCAATCTCCGTGCTGCCTTGGTCCATGTGATAGGCGATCTCATACAGAGCTGCGGCGTGCTGCTCGCCTCTGTACTTATTAAGTTCTATGTAAGTTTAACATAGTTTTGACTTACAAAATAACTTGTACTATCGGGGAATCTGACGGTGCTCTATAGTTTGAAGTTCTTGTATAATACAATAGGATTCTTTTAAATGTAGGACAAAAAGTCGGTCAGTGTTACACTATACATTAATTTTTATACTTTTATATACTAGCTGTTGCTAAAGTCTGCGTCTATGTACAAAAAATAATTGTAATTAATGTTGCCATGTTACTTAGTGGTAACGTAACTATTAATAGGTGATTTTTTTTAAATCGGCCCAGTAGTTTTTGAGTTATTTTAATGCATAAAAAAAGTAATTTTTTGTCTTTATAATTAGTAATTATTATTATTTCGTTATTTGCAACTCAAAACTAAATCAAAAAGGCGTAGTTTGTGTTGAAACAAAGAATATGACAATTTTTCATAGAGTGGAACACCGACATATATCCTGACTGTACTTACTGTTCTTAATATTGTCTTTTTATTAGGATTTCACATAATTTTGGATGTTTTTACTGTATTCGTGTATTGCAGCCGGACGCGAAGATAGTGGACCCTATCTGCACGTTTGTGTTCAGTGTGCTGGTGCTGCTGACGTCAGCGCGCGTGGTGCGAGACGCCTTGTCTATGCTCATGCAGGCTGTGCCCGCTAACTTCAAGTTAGTCACTTTAATCTTATCTTACTAATATTATAAATGCGAAAGTTTAGATGGATGGATGGATGTATGGATGTTTCTTAGAGTTTGTAGCCTAAACTGCTGAACGGATTTTGATGAAATTTGGTATAGATGTAGATAATAGTCTGGAAGAACACATAGGCTACTCACTTTTGTTTTTTTTTTATATCCACGCGGACGGAGTCGCGGGCGAAAGCTACTAGTAACGTATAAATGTGGGAATGGATTTTTGCGTGGAACGGAACGGAAGTGCAGAGAGAGAAGTTGAAGGGCAAAAGGTGAAATGGATCAAAGATGCAGTTTTTAACTGATTTTTTTGGTGTTTCACTTGTTTACATGAATATGTGTTAGGTACCGCGAGTGCGTGTGCGCGCTGCGCGGCGTGCGCGGCGTGCGGCACGTGCACTCGCTGCACGTGTGGGCGCTCTCCTCGCACTACACCGTGCTCAGCGCACACATCGCCATCGGTGCGTCTCACATTTATATATACTGACACTCGTCATTATCATCCTCTCCCCTACCTCATGCTGCTCCCGTAATGTCGCATTTGGTTTTCCCCTCCACATAACTCTATCAAACGTCATCTCAGTCATCAATCCCTTCATCATGTCACCTTTCACACAATCTTCTTCTTAGTAAGTCTACTTTTACTGGTGTACCACATTCGTAACTAACGTTCTCCTTGTAACATGCGATTCATCCCTCCTTTTTACTCCTTACCTTCTGTACCACTGGGAATACCCTAAAACTTCAAAATAAGAAAAATACAGGTGTTAATATCGGTACAGATGACGTGTCGGAGAGCGAGCGCGTGCTGCAGGAGTGCCAGGCGCTGGCGCGGCAGCAGTTCCAGGTGCAGGCGGCCACGCTGCAGGTGGAGCGCCACGCGCCGCGCGCCGCCTGCGCGCAGTGCCGCCAGCCCGCAGACACGCCCTGACAGCCGCGCACACTCACACGATGAGCTGGGGTGAGGCAAAGGGGGGATCTTCCAGAAACTTTGTCGGAAGACAGGGTTATGTTATGGGGGTCACTGGACACATTTTTGGAGAGGAGGGGGGACACCTCCAAAGATACTCTAACTTGTAATGGAAGACGGGGTTATGTTGTGAATCTGGGGACACTAGAACCCGCTTTGTCCCCACGTTGGGATAGATGAGAATAAAAAGTTTCATCCGTCCCATATTTTACTCCCACTATCACCAATAAGGCGACAGAGGGAAATAAAATAAGTTCCAACCGTCCCTACGTCGCAAAATGTGGGACGGATGATATTTTTTATTCTCATCTGTCTCCACGAGGGCACAGCGGGGTGAGGGTTGGGAATAATCCCAAAATACGAATCATCATCACCAGCCCACTATGCGTTAACTTCAATATACGGGTGACTAAACCATAGTCAAACCAATATAAAAATAATATTCAACCATATTTGCAACTGCCTGTATAACATGTAATTTTTTCGTAGATGTTAATTTACAATAGACTTGTAGTGTACTTATTTACGTATTTATTTATTTATCTATCTATTTATTACACTACATTTATTTATTTATTATATTACATTCACTCATACACATTCACAACATAACATCACATTCATAACCCACAACACATCACATATATTCCCATACACAAATATTATTATACTACAAACAGACAGACGCGCACACTCCACATTCACACTATATAATTTCAACACGCTACACAGGCACAGCGCCACGCGCGGCGCGGACGCAAATCGTCCGAACTGCAAATCATGCGCCGCGCCGCGCCGCGCCGCGCCGGCCACCAAACAGTCGCCTCGCTCGTTTGCCCTCTCTCCCGCCATTTTGTCTACGTGTTTTCTTTGTTTTATTTGTTCATATCGTTTTGTGTTAGTTTTTAATTTGTGTACGTTGCATCGTACGTTATATTGTGTATGTGCACAAATAAACTGCATTGTGGTTAACTATAATTGGTGACCCCGACTACTACTAATACTACCACTTTATCTTGTCATGCTATAGTTGCTAATTTAATTGATGTGTGTTCTGTAAAAATATTAATTAATAAAAAAAGTAGGTAGTCTATGTGTTCCAGATATCCTCTACATCTATGACAAATTTCATAGAAATCCATTCAGCAGTTTAGGCTACAAACTAACAAACATTCATTATTTTTTTTTTATATTATTAGTAAGTTTTTTGTTTTTTTTTTCAGGTGAATAAAAGTTCAAACATATGAGAAATAATAAATGCCAAAAGTGTATGGACTAAGTGTATGGCTATGATGGACAATTGAAACCAAAAATAATATTAAGTAGAAATCTATATATAAGAATAAATAACCTTGATTGACTCCAAAAAATGGTAGTTTTAGCTTGTTAATATATGTTAAATTATTTAAAATATTAATTAGTAGATTGTAGGAGTTGTAAATTGCAGGTAAAAATACAAAAAAAATGTAATAAAAATGTATTGATGACGTCAAAAGTATTGCAAAAATTAGCGAGGTATTATTTTTATTTGGACAGAAAAAATAAAAGTATTTCACATTATGTAAATAAAATTTTTTTGTAAAATTTTTTCTTCAATATAAATTAAAAAAATTCTAGACATATGAGAAATTAAATCACAGAAAATTTCCCTGATTTTTTTACTTATTTAAAAGTGCATTGTTGAAGAAAAAATCTAGTATTCTACAAATTACTATTTTTTTAATGTATAGAAATAAATACTCAAAAATCTATGAGTTATTTAATCTTTTTACTTCGTAGATATTTGGAGGCTTTTAAAATACGGGATGTTCTATCACAAAAAACTAATGTGATACAGGTTGTTACATTTTTCAGACCATTAAATATTGATTTTTAAATATTTTTTTGAAATTAATTTTGCTCAAAATAATTACATTATTAAATGCATAATAATCTATTGATAAATTAGATTTTAGAAGGAAAAAACCTAATTGTGCAATATATTCATACTTTAGTTGATGAAATAAGTCTTAATAAACATTTTTTGTTGTAGCAATTTATATAAAATATATTATATTTTTGTAGTTTTAGGTTATATCCATGTTTATTTAAATAATTAGCTGTTCCAGTGCGACTTCATCCGCATGAAATTATGAACATTTTATTTTATTGTTTAAATTTGTCAAATTATCAATTACAAATGTCAAAATGACATAACATGATGACAACCTTGCTTCCTTGATGTTGGCAGCTTATGGTCTCTTTCCCACATTAGAGTTTTTATCCAAAATGTTTACCTCCTAAGTTTAATGGTGTTAAATTATATAGCCTAAAGCGTGACGTAAGTGTAGGGCTTTTTATTAAAAAACGAATTATTCAAAAATATGCTGTAATTGCTGACATCTTAGGCAACAAAGAAGTGTATGTTTACGCTTTATTATAATAGTATAGATTTGTGTTTAATGTCTTCTGCTCAAAGTTATTAAAATATAAATATGTAGAACATTGTATAATAGTGCCAATTGTTAAATAAAATAAATTAATTATTAATATATTCATATTTTATTATGTACAGGGTGTTTTGTTTTAATTAAGGTTGGGTATGATTTTTTCTTTTCTATAATTTTATTGCTGAAATATATATATTTTTAGTAAATTAACATAACTTTTGATCTCAAATTATTGCGAATTTCCTCTCTTTGCGTTTTTTTTTTCATTTTTTCTACGGATGAGTTAATCATTTTCTAACTAGACTTTTGCTATTTTTTATTTCAGAGTTTTCAATGACAAAATTATAGAAATGTATATATTTATAATTAAGATATTTTTTTTATTTAAAAAATTGCTCCATACAATGTAGAATGTAAATATAATGTGATATTTTTTTGATTGTTGTTTAAAGTTTTTTAGTTATGTTAATAAATGATTAGAAAAAAAATATTTGATATTATTTTGATTGAATACGCAATAACATGATACTTCGGTTCGATGACGTCACATACAGACGATATTTTCCTGTCTTATGTATATTAGAAAAAATTTATTTTGATAAAAATTATTAGATTTAAGATGTATTTTGTATATAAATGCGCTGAAGAAAATGTATTAAATATAGATATAAGGGTATTTATTCGTGCATAATATAAATTCCGTTGAAAATATTTAGAAAAAACTTGTTGTAGAAATAGCGCTGAATACTAGAATTTAGTGCAATAGTTTTCAGTCTAGTCTAGATTTAAAATAGTACTACATTTAGAGTATAAACAAAGTAATTTACTTGATAAAGATTAGAAAAATAAATTGAAAACTCCATAGGAAAAATAACACCCTGTATTTGAATTTTTTTTTGTAATGGCAAATAACTTATGTATTCAGTAATTATTGATGTAAAGATTTTTAAACTCTAAATGTGGTACTATATTTAGTAAAAAACATAAATAATATATAAATGACATTATCTTCGTAGTCTTTGTTAATAAAATTAGAGAAACTAAATAGAATTGTAACTCGGACTTCCGAATGTTTAGATGTTTTTTTGCTTGTATTAATAAGTATGGGAATAATATGTGATTTATATTTTTTTTTGCAAATTTTTCAAAAAAGATTTTTTTACATTTTTTTCATTGTATCGTATAAAATGTTTTATTCCCATCAAATTCGCGTTCAGTATTCTATTTACCAAATCTGTAACCAAAAAAGAAAATATTTTTTTATAATAAATTGGTGTATTTGTATTTAAAATCATATTTATAAAAGACAATGTTAGTTTTTTTTGCGATTTTGTTGATGTAAATGTCTGCCGTCCCCAGTTGGAAGTTTTGTAGATTAAGTACTGAAGATTAAATGAATATTCAAATAGCTTGCTTTTTTTTCTACTTCCTAGTCACTGAACCACACAAACTATAATCTACTCGTTTTCAAATCCCATACTTAGTTAATAAGGAATCATCAAACTATGGTAGTTAAGCGCAGGGTTATTGGTAATTCGATCTATTCTCGTTAGGTGATAGAGGTAAAAAATAGGGGGGATAATTTGTGACAATTTTGACCCCGATATACATTATGCAAAAGTTAACCATTTTTGAGTTTTGATTTTTTCAAAATAAGTCAAAAACTAACAAGACTTTTAATTATGACTTAACTCTACAGATCTACAAAACCTATTAAACACTGATTATTAATTAATATTAAAATATCAATTATTTGTCCGGAATAAAAAATGCTGGATGTAGAAACATTTTTTTTTTCCACTAAAATACTCTAAAAACAAAAAAATCCGCTAAGAACTTGGCTGGCAGATTTTAAAAACATGACCGTTTTTTTTAACTCTAAAAATGCATATTACTAGGAATTATTATCATTTCTTTAGTGTAGTTTTGTCATACTTATCGTAAACTAAGGAACCTAAGAATCTTCTGGTGCTGCGGATGTCCATGATCGTCATTGACCACCTTGGTGTTCACGCCGCAAGTTTGCCCCCTTTTTTTATAAAAAAAAAACCTTATAAACAAACAATCCTGTATAAATATTTTTAAATAAGGAATTTTAGGTACAATAAAATAAACATTTGGAACTACTTAAAATTATTTATTCAATTGAAGGCAAGTCGTCGACAGTCCGCGAGAGGGCGCTCCCTCCATACAAACTACAATACATTGTATGGCTAACGTTTGTACACAACAATATCACAAATGCGAACATAATATTAATTTAAAGCTACTTCATAAACCTCAAATTACATAAAAATCATTGCCATATTAAAAAAAATATGCGTAACACAAACATGGGTCTGTGATATTAAAAAAAAATGTAAAAAAGTACATTATACAAATTAAAATCAATTTTAATTTATTTCCTTTAATTCAAATTTCAATATGAAAATATTTTTATAAATATCAAAAACTGACAACAATAAAAACAATGAATAAATTGACGAGGTTAAGAACACCTATATGACATACTAATTGAAAACCTTAGTACATAATTATAGTCCAATACTTATCTGACCAGATAAACAAGTGAGAAATTACGAAAGTCTACTTCTGCCCTCATACATACAAAAAATCCCAAAATCTCTGACTATAGCTGTCTCTTTTATATTATTTTCTACTTTTTAGGTATTTCATCTATTCCGACAGAACTACACGCCATAATCTCATCAAGCCAGATAAGTATTTCGCACTAAACGTTTCCGTAAAACTTATGTACAGTCGCGGAAATTCGCAGTGTTTCACTTACAGAATAATTAAATAAACGAAATTCATCATTTCTCAATAACCATCATCATCAACTTGCCCTTATCCCTTACGGAGGGTCGGCACAGTATGTGCTGCTCCATACATCTCTATCAGCCGTCATATCTGAATCCACTCCTTTCTTAAGCATATCCTCTTTCACACAATCCATCCATAGTTTCTTCTGTCTTCCTCTACCTTTGTAGCCATCCATTCATTAACACTTTCAGGTTTATGTCCCCATATCGTCGCATAACATGTCCATACCACGCTAACCTTTTGCTAATCTTATCTCAATAACCAACTAATAAAAATAAATTAGCCGTGTATCAGTGACCGGTCTTTTTTTCATTGATTCATTTGAAAGCTGCGTTCTATTGGTTATTGGTTCATATTTCAATGTATATAAGATGTTTAAACGATTGTTTTTTTTTT